GCAAGATAACGCATGCAAGTTATCATAATTTGAATTATAAGTATACTTTGGATGGGAATAACCTTAACAGCGTTATGAAGTAAAGGGACCTTGATGTAACAGTTGATCAGTCTCTAAAGCCATCTAAGCAGAGTGTTGTTGCTAGTGGTTGGGCTAATAGGATTTTATGTTGTATCTATGGAAGTATTAAATACAAGTCTAAAACAGGTTATAATTTCATTGTACTGATCACTGGTTAGGTCACATTTGGAATATTGTGTTCAGTCTTTGCCTCCTTACCTTAGGAAAGACATTGAATTCTTGAAAAGGGTTCAGTTTGTTTGTTTTTTGAATTTCGTGCAAAGCTACACGAGGGCTATCTGAACTAACCATCCCTAATTTAGCAGTGTAAGACTAGATGGAAGGCAGCTAGTCATCACCACCTACCGCCAACTCTTAGGCTACTCTTTAACCAACGAATAGTGGGATTGACCATCACATTATAACGCCCCCATGATGAGGATTTGAACCCGCGACCCTTATATTGCGAATTGAGCACCCTAACCACCTGGCCTGGAAAGGGTTCAGAGAAAGGTTACTAGAATGGTGCCTGAGCTGGAGGGGTTGTCATACGAGGAGAGGCTGAAATCTATCAAATTGTTTTCTCTTGAAAAAAGAAGAATTAGGGAGGATCAGATTGAAGTGTTTATGATTATAAAGGGAATTGACAGTGTTGATACATCATCTTTTTTCATATCTAACAAAGAGAATAGTAGGACCAGGGGTCACAAATATAAATTTTGGTAAGGTACGAGACATCTTCTGCTGAGACAGTTTAATTTTTCTAACAGGGTGGTAGGGCTTTGAAATGGGTTGCCTTTGGATGTTACAGAGACAGTAAGTTTATGTGAGTTTAAGAAAATGCTTGATAAGAATATGAATTATAAGGGCTGGCTTTAAGATTTTTTGGTTAATTTTGTTTAGAGGATGGAACAGCCAAGATGTTCCAATAGGTCCCATATTGTCCCAAAACGTTATGTTATGATCACCCGTGAAAAGCAAAACTTAATATTTTCAATTGCATTACTAAAAATAAATTTAATAAAAAATCCAATTTCATAAGATATTCTGTTAAAAAAAAAAGATTTATGAAAACAGAAGTTGTGTTGTTACTTTAGGATAATATTGAAAGAGAAGTTATTAAATTTTCTTTTGCCACAAACGCCTTAACTTTGATTAAGATATTAAGCTGCACACCTTGGCACAAGTTAGCTCTACTAATACTACTAGTACTACCACTTCTAGAAACGCTGATAAGCGTAGCTTTCAACAAGTGAAAAACTTGCTTGTAAGTTGTAATTTCAAACTTTTACTGCTTTGCATTTGGTCTCCATCATGGTTAACATCAGATGATCGCTGCTAATTATATATATATATATATATATATATATAT